TTTGGGTAGGTAAGGTCGAAACGCTCTCCTAGGGTTTCGCGAAGGTTAGTTTTCTTTAAACTTCATATTTGTAATTTTCCGGTTTTAATTTAATTTATTCCCCCTCCCCGCGGGCCGCCGGTTGATTTAATCCCGGCCGCCAACCCCCAGGTATGTTCTAAACCTTCTCCTTTGTGGTAGACTGTTTTAGTTGATTAATTGAATTGCTAAGTGTTATTTAATTTAATTGTTATGCGTAGGGGTGGTTTATTGGGTGGTAGGGGTAGAATTAATTAATTTTAATTTTCTGCCCGGAATTGTTAAATTGCCAAAATGTCCATTTTGCTATGTGTTGCATGCTGCCCGGGGTGATTAAAGTGAATACTTTATAGCCCGGGTTGGATTATTTTCTGTCATTTCTGTCTGTTTAGCTTTGTGTTCCTTTTGTGGTTGATACCATGGCTGCGAATAAGTATGGTATGCTTCCATTTAATGGAAAAACAGATTTTGATATTTGGAAACAGAAAATTAAGTGTGTTTTAATACAGCAAAAAGTTTTCAGAGCTGTCACTGGTATTTTCCTTGAATCAGAAGATAAGGCTAAGCAAACTGAAATGAACGAAACTGCTTGTTCTACTATTTACTTGAATCTGTCTGATTCTGTGCTTAGGAAAGTGGGTATTCTTGAGTCCGCTAAGGAGTTGTGGGAGAAATTGGATAGTCTCTATACTGATACCTCTTTGCCCGGGAAGTTGTTTTTACTAGAGAAATTCTTTAGGTTTAGGCTTGACCTGACTAAGGATATAGATGAGAACCGGGATGTGTTTAATAAACTGATACAGAATATCAAACAGGCAAGTGATAAACACATAGATGATTACACTCCCATAGTGTTACTTAATGCCATTCCCGACTCTTATAATGATGTTAAGTCTGCTATTAAGTATGGTAGGGATGAGATTTCATTAGACATTGTTGTGAATGGGTTAAGGAGTAAGGAATTAGACCTGAAGCATGCTAGGGGTAGTGCTAGTCAGTCCAGGGACTCCGGTGAGGCTATGTTTGTTAGAGGTAGATCTAAGGGCAGGTCTAAGAACTCTAAGCAAAATAGTCGGGGTAAGAACACTAGTCAGCCTGGGAGGAAGAGGAGCAAATCTAGGAAGAGAGTGTGTTACAATTGTGGTAACACTGGCCATTTCATTAAGGATTGCCCCCACCCTAAGAAGACCGAGCATGCTAGTGTAGCTGTTGATAGATGTGAGCATGGTGATATTTTGATGGTTTGTGACCATGTTAATCTGTGAGAAATTCCCTGTCTGAGCATGAATGGTTGATTGACTCTGGTTGTATCTATCACGTGTCCCCCTTTAAAGATTTGTTTTCTTCATATGAATTATGTGATAGTGGCTACGTTTCCTTAGCTGATAATAAGAGATGCAATGTGTTTGGTGTTGGTGATATATGTCTGAAATTTTCTTGTGGCTCTGTGTTTACCATTAAGAATGTGAGGCATGTCCCTGATTTGTGTCATAACTTGTTATCTGTAGCTGCTTTGGAGAGTAGTGGGTTACAAAGAAAATGGGGGAATGGTTGTATGAAAATCCTGAAGAATTCGCTGGTTTTGTTTAAAGCTGAGAAGGTGAATAACCTTTATGTGTGTCATGCTAAACCTTTTGTTGATTCTGCGAATGTTGTATGTTCTGATAAGACCTCTTTGTGGCATAATAGGCTAGGACATATGAATAATAATGGTTTAGATGTCATGCGTAGGGCTAGTTATTTTGGTAAGGACTCTGTGACTTCTGTGCCTTTCTGTGAATCATGTGTGTTAGGCAAGCAGCATAGAGTCAGCTTCCCTCCCTCCTCTTACCCTAATCTGTCTAAATGTTCATCTGTGCTTGAATATGTTCATGCCGATGTTTGGGGTCCTACCAGTGTTCCTACCCACGGGGGTAGGAAATATTTCCTTTCTATCATTGATGATTTCTCTAGGAAGGTGTGGGTTTGCCTTTTAGAACACAAGCCTGATGTGTTTGTGAGGTTTAGGGAGTGGAAAACCCTAGTTGAAAACCAAACTGGCAGGAAGGTTAAAACCCTTAGGACCGATAACGGGTTAGAGTTCTGTAATAAGGAGATGGATAAGCTGTGTGTGGATTGTGTGTTGATTGTGGGATAAGAAGGCACAAAACTGTGCCTTATACTCCCCAACATAATGGGATAGCAGAGAGAATGAATAGGTCTCTGTTGAATAAGGTTAGAAGCATGTTAGCTACCTCTGGTTTGTCTAAGAAATTCTGGGGCGAAGCAGTTACTACTGCTGCCTATTTGGTTAATAGGCCCCCGTCTGTCCCTCTTGGTGGTAAGTGTCCTGAAGCCGTCTTTACCGGTAAGCCTCTTGATCTGTCTAACCTTCGGGTGTTTGGTTGTGCACCATATGCACATCAACAAGTTAATAAGTTGGATCTTAGGTCTAAGAAATGTGTCTTCCTAGGTTATCCAGAGGGGGTAAAGGGTTACAGGTTATGGGATAGGAACCAGGTAGGCTTTAAAGTGGTCCTTAGCAGAAATGTGGTGTTTAATGAAACTGATTTTCCTTGCTTGACCAAGTCTGTTTCCGAACCCGAGTCTAGGTCTGATAGTACTCCTAGTGAGGTGGAGTCTGTCCCTGTTGCTGCTAGTCTTTTGTCTGTTGATCCTGTTATTACTGATGATATTGTTATGCATGATTCTGATTCCTCTGAGCATGATAGTCCCACCACCTCGAGTGAGGTGGAGCATTTGCATGATACTGAGCATGATTTGCATGATATGGGTGCTGAATCTGATTTTCATGATAACAATAATTTGCATGAGTTGCATGTGGAGCCTAGTAGTGATAATTTGCATGATTATCAACTTGCTAGAGATAGGAGTAGAAGGGCTATCAGGAGAACTGCTGATAGTATGCCTGATTATGCTTTCATTGTGCATGATACTTCTATGTTTGCATTTTCTGTGTTTGAATCCCTAGAGCTGAATGAACCCAAGACCTACCGTGAAGCCTTAGGTTCCAAAGAGTCTCAGAAATGGGTTAGTGCCATGAAAAGTGAGATGGACTCTTTGAGAGTGAACCAGACTTGGACCCTTGTACCTAGACCCCCCAAATGTTCGGTAGTTGAGTGTAAGTGGTTGTTTAAGGTTAAGGAAGAACCTAGTGATGTTAGGTTTAAGGCTAGGTTGGTTGCGAAAGGGTTTACTCAAAAAGAGGGGGTAGATTATGCAGGAATCTTTGCTCCTGTTGTTAAATTCACCACTATTCGTATGATGCTTGCTTTAGTTGCTCACCATGACTGGGAAATGAAACAAATGGATGTAATTACTGTTTTTTTGCATGGTGAATTGGATAAAACAATTTATATGACCCAGCCTGAGGGCTTTGTGGATCCCAAGAGAAGTGAGCATGTCTGTTTGCTTAGGAAGGCTTTGTATGGCCTGAAGCAATCCCCTAGGCAGTGGAACATCAAATTTGATAAATGCATGATATCTTTGAAGTTCCAAAAAACTGTTTGTGATCATTGCCTGTATTTCAAAAATACTTCTTCTGTGCCTGTATTTTTGTTACTTTATGTGGATGACATGCTGATAATTAGTCCTTCTCTGAATGCTATTAAAGATGTGCAAAAATGTCTTTGTGCGAATTTTGCCATGAAAGACCTAGGTGATGCCAAGAAGATCATAGGCATAAACATTGTTAGGGATAGGAGTAAGTGTACTCTTACTTTGAATCAGATTTCTTACATAGAAAAAGTTTTGAGTAAATTCAATATGTTATCTGCTTCTCCTGTTAATGTCCCTATGGCATATCACTTTGTGTTAAGTAAGGACCAGTCTCCCAAGACTGCTGCTGAAATTGAGAAAATGAAACCTGTGCCCTATTCCAGCGCAATAGGGTCGGTGATGTATCTTATGGTTAGCACTAGACCTGATATTGCATATGCGGTTAGTTGCTTGAGTAGATATATGTCCAACCCTGGTTTGCCCCATTGGAATGCTCTTAAGTGGTTGCTTAGATATCTGATTTCTACTGTGAAGCATGGATTAATTTTCTCTAAATGTGCTAGTGGTATTGAATTGATTGGTTATGTTGATTCTAACTATGCAAATGATAGAGATAACATGAAGTCGACCACTTCTTATGTTTTTACTTTGTGTGGCTCTTGCATTAGTTGGAAGTCTCAACTACAACCTATTGTGGACCTTTCTACCACTGAGTCTGAGTATGTTGCAGGCACTTGCAGCCACAGAAGCGTTTAAGGAAGCCATCTGGCTCAAACGCCTTGTCTCCGAAATTGGGTTTCTCAAAAAGGGAGTTACCATTTTCTCGGACAGCCAATCGGCTATCCAACTTTGCAAAAATCCTGTATTTCATGATAGAACTAAGCATATTGATGTTAGGTTCCATTTCATACATGATATTGTTGATGCAGGTGGAGTCAAGCTGTGCAAGATCCCGTCCGAGTTTAACCCCGCGGATATGGGTACCAAGTGTCTTCCTGCTGAGAAGCACTTGTCCTGTAAACGCGTGTTAAACTTTGATTGTGGATAACTGTGGGTTGCGTAATAAAGTGTTTGCCCGTTTTGTCTTTTGATATTCCGGGTGACCCGGCGATGATGAGACTTGTCACAACTTTGTATTGTTACTCTACACCACCTAGGACCAATAAGGTGGAGAATGTTGGAGGGTATTGGTCCTACCAAGACCTCCTTTCCACTTTATTTGTTGAGGCTTGCACACTCTATTTTACTCTCTCTTGGATACCTTTTCTTTGGTATATATCCTGATCAAATATATACCTATTTGAGTTGACTTTCCTACTGGCTGGCCCCTTTGTTTACTGTCCGCTGCCACCACTTGTCTTGGCCTATACATGTGACTCTCCTTTGTCTAAGTAGAATGTGAGTGTCTTTTGTCATGCATCACCCGTGACTCCCTTGGCAGCCTATTTGAAGTCCTTACTTCTTCCCTTGTTGAAGCAGCCTGCGAGATACTCCATAGAGAGAGCAGACTCCCTTTCTTCTTCCTTTCTTTTGTGTGAGAGTAAAGAGAGGTCCTTTGTGGAGAGTTGAGATATTGGTGTGCTATAGCTTCCTCCTAGAGTGGTGTGTGAGAGTGTGTAGATAGACCTGAGCCGGAGACGGATATACCATCCTTACAAATGTGTCTGCAAAAATGAGGTAACCCAAAATGCTTGGAAAATGATAAAGTAAAATTCGAGAATATTCTTTTTGAGCTCAAAGGCTGTAAAGATATGGAAACTAACTTTGCCACACTGAAAATTCTCCCGCCCAGTTCTGAATTCTGAACTCCACCGGAAGACATGGAGACCGGGAATAAACCGACGAATGGGAGTAACAACGAGTCGTTGAAAATGGCTGTAGCTATGGCGCTTATTCGATTAAAGCTTTCGCACGCTAACCACCCTCAGCCGCCCCAGTCGTCTTCATCGTCTGCTCCTCTATCAGACGTTCTGAAATGGAAGAGAAAGGTCTGTCTTACCTTCTACGCATAATCTCTGTGAAACTGTGAAAACGAATCCTAAATTCCTCCGGAAACGCTTCAGGCCAAGGAACGCAAGCTAGAAATTGCTAGACTTAGAGAAGAACTCAGAATCTCAGAAGGCTTGTCTCTCACTCTCTCTCGCCATCTCTGGTTTCTCGATCACTCTTGAACATTATGCCAGTTAATTTCATTATAAACTTGATTGCATAATTATATAATAACATACGGGCTCCAGATTTCGTATCTTCAATTAATTTAAAAGAAGCATTTGATCTAGCGTTCGTTTTGCACTTGGATCAGTGAAGTAATCCATGTTTTTTGGGGTTCCGGAATACCCTATTGCATAGCATAACCATATTTTTATTGGGGGGGAGGGGTCATAGACGGTATGCAGCAGGATATATTTCCGCATGGTGCATTGTGCAAGTGCTACTTCTTTGATAATTTGGGCCAATTGAATCCTATTAGAACTGGAGATGACAATGATCAGAGATTCAGTGACGTCTTGCACCGTAGCTTTCTCAGACAAGGTATTGTTTTCAAATAGATTTTCCCTTCCCCTCTCACAATTGTAGTTTTTCTGGAATTTTTGTTTGCTGAAAGTTTGAGTGGTTTTGTCTGTATAGTTAGAACAAATGAGAGAAAGAGAAGGTTGCCTGAAGCTTCAAAAGCAAGAGAATATGTGTCAGGTGAAAATGTTTGTACTCACATGTAACTGTTTACCTTTTTAGGGATGTATATTTATGTTGATGGTGATGCTAGTCTTGATTGCAGAATAATGGATTTTTACTAAAACAGTCCTGCCTTATGTGATCTTAAAAATACTGTTCTTAGGGTAAATTGCTGGAGTATTTGAAAGTAGCTGCTCAAAAAGTTATAGGGCTAAATCAGAGTGAAATTTCAATACTCATGATGACTGGATATACTGTTCCCAAGTTAACATTTACACATCAGATGATTTTTTGCTATTGCAGAATATAGTAATGATGGTGAAATTGAGAAACTACGGGCTTCTGTTGATTTTCTAGTGGAGACATGCCATGCTCTTTCTCAAGCCAGAGTTTGTTGTTCGCCTCAATTTACATGATCTTTTGTGATATCTAAATTTTTAACAATGCATTCTGTTTTTATTTTTTAGTTCTTTCATCATTGTTTTTTGCAGCTGGATGAGTGTAAATTCAAAAACTGGTCTCACCAAGCTGTAGACTTTATTCTTGGTATTACACATTCATTTGATATATATGCACCAATAATTATTTTAGGAAGACTCACTACAAAAATACTTAAACTGACTTTTTCGTTGTGCTGTGTCAAGTGATAACTAATTTATACTGTTCTCAACCCATACATTGTTTTGCGTACGAAATTGCCAATATGAAAATAAATGAAGTAATATTTAGTGCTTCTCTCACTGGTTGAGATCTTCATTGAATGATATGTTACTGCTAAGGGGCAAGTGGTGAAGAACAAAATAGTTCACTATAAGATTTTGGGTATTATGTAACTCATTAAGGGATTGCTTCCACTTTCTAATTGTACTTTTTTTCTCATGGGTAGGGGTGCAAATGAGCCGAGCCCGAATCTATGTAGGCTCGAGCTCGAAATATATTGTATTGGCTCGAGCTCGAGCTCCGCTCGAACGAGCTTAGAAACTCGAGGCTCGAGCTCGAGCTCGCAAATATATAGTTGGCTCGATTGGCTCGATAGATTTGGTTCGTTAACTAAAAAGTTAGAAGTTCGATTAGCTCGAAAGTTCGGGTTTGAACTCGAGCTCGAGTATGAAACAAACTTTGAATATTTGTGCTTAAAATTTGCAAATTGCAATTTACATGCCCAACAACTAAAACTAGAGTAAATGTTATCTAAATTACAAAATGGTCAAACCATGATGATTAAACTAAAACTAGAGTTACGGGAACGAAAAATAAACAAAATATATCCTAACTCCAAGTCTCCACCCATTTGTACTTCTAATGTAAATCAAAAGTTGTCAAACCATGAAAAAATAGTGGATGAAACTTTGATTATTTTTGTTAAATTACTTTATAATTAATAATATCTTCCCGGTCCTCATATACATTTACCAATCGGTATTGTGTGTTTGTGTGTGCATATATATATATATATATATATATACATATTATCATATACATTATATATACTATTATATTAATATTATATATATTAATATAAATATACACACATATAAAACTAGGCTCGCGAGCTAGCGGGACTTAAATTATTAGGCTCAGTTCTTGCTCGACTGCTTAACGAGCCGGCTTGAGCTCGGCTCGAGCTCGAGTTTGACCGATCCCGATTCGAGCTTTGACCGAGCAGCTCGGCTCATTTGCACCCCTACTCATGGGTATCTTTACTCATTAAGGGATTGCTTCCACTTTCTAATTGTACTTTTTTCCCTCATGGGTAGCTTTACTAAGTATGTCTTTTCATTTATTTGGTTGAAGATGCGGTGAAGACCACATCGGCAATGGGAGTCAATTTTCCTGTTGAAGATGTTGTAAGTAGCTTAATTACGCGCCTAATGAAAATCATGTGCAGTGCAACAAAAGGAGATGGTAAACATTTGGTTGTGCTTTTTGTATATGTTTACACATGCCAGACATTGTTTCTTGTTATATTATCTCAACTGTTTTTTTTTCGGTTTTAATGGGTTAAATATCATAAAGGGAAGGCATCCCCGCAAGGCGAGGGTCCGGGGAAGGGTCCCACCACAAGGGTGTTTAAGGGCCAAGACTTCCCCTGTCAAGAAGCTGCTCCCCTTAATGGTTAAATAAATATCATATTGCATAAAATTTAAGAAAACTTATACTGCAGAAAATATTTTACGCAGCTTATTTTCGCAAACAAACAAAGCCTAAAATGTTTTCGGTATTTACCCCTTATAACTTTATGAGCGAATTCTGAACTTAAAATGAGGGTTATCATTGATTTGTCTGGCCTCCTGCTTGTAAAGGCTCTACACATTGACTTCATCAAGTAATTGTTCAATTTCTAAAGATACATTAGCTGGAGGCTGAAGCCTCATAAATTGTTATTGGTTTTCATTTACGCCTCTTAATGAATTTGGTATTTTCTTTGTTCTTTTGGAGAATGTTTCAGAAGATCAAGCAGGGACTGATGTAAGGTTCTACGTTCAGCATTTAATGCGAAAACTTGGAAGTGACTCTTCTATTGGGCAGTGTATACTCCTTTCTGCTTCTCAGAGAATTTCCTTAGTTGCTGAAGGGTTGCTCTTCATGGATCCGTTTCACAATGCCTTTCCAGATATGCACCACTCTATGTACCTGTTGTAAGTGCCATCTTTGAGTTACCAATTGTGGTGCTAATCTGCTCATTCTTTTCATCTGTTTCTACAACTATGATGATAAACTTGGTCAAGAGATGCACTTTTCTGTCATATACTTGTTATGCTTTTATTTCAAATGTTCTAGTATTGCTTTTTAATAGATACTCCATTCCTCCCATATTACATGTCTGTATCAGCTAATAAGGTTGACCAAGTCACTTACTAGGAGGCAACTTTAAGCAAATTACATTTGTCAGTCTCATAGCTAAATCCAACTACAGCTGTAGATTTGGGGCCACTACAGTTAATCCGTAATAAAATACTCAAGCTTAAGTCTTTAAATACAGTGTTCTGATGCGCTGTGAATAAGATTTGTTAATTATTGATTCGAAGTATTGTGAATGAAGATGTGTTTGGTAATTGGTACTGCGGTGCAATGAGACTATGGGAATGTTTTATCATTAAATAAGAACTACTTGTGTCAAGAGCTGAGGTGCTGTAGTTTGAAAGCTATGAAGCTTCAAATATCTTTGCTGTTGATGACCTACGCAGCCACACATTGATATACCCTCCTCTAATACATCAATAATATTTTTTGTAACATTAATAATAGTAGAGCATTTCGTCAGCCTCTTTTCTATTAATCCATCAGTCATGTAGTTCCAGCCTCTACTGTGCACAGTCTTGTACGTTTCCTTTTCAGATCGGTGCCAAAATGTTTTTCTGGAAGCATTTGGGTATTCTGTTCATTTCAAGATTTTTGGTAAAAATGTCTGAGCCGATCTATACCACCTCTCCCTAAACATCTTTTAGTTTTAATAGGGATTCCATCAGGGTGAACTGCTTTATGCATTTCCGTTGGGGTAAAACTTCAAAATTAATATTTTTTGGACGAACACTTGCTCCATACTTTTTCCAGTATTTGCTTTGAGATGGGTGATAAAGTATTAACATGTTTTTCATTCTTCTACTATTTGAATATTTTGGCACACCATGACTTGCAGGATCCAGCTCATTGAGTTTCTGGTGTCAGATTACCTACTAACCTGGTCAGCCAGTGAAGACTTCGACACAAGTACACTTTTGTTTTTTTCCATGCCAAGTCTTTATACTTAATTTTCTTTCTCAACATGTTAAACCAACCTACTTCAAATTGTACTTCTAAATTTGGATCAGCTGCTATATCCTAAAAGTTATGGATTGTGATTAATTAATTATCAATCTGTAGTTACTCACTAATTTATGGATTGTGACCCCCCCCCCCCCCCCCCCCCCCGATCCCAATAGCTATATTTCATAAGTTTTCCTTACCACGAGCACTTGTTTTGTGTATCAGTGGAGCATAATTGTTTCTTCTCTACATTGCCTATTAGTCTATTGCTATATTTCACGGGCTTCTCTACAGGGCTTTTTGAAGAATGGGTGGTGTCAGTTCTGCGAGCAAGGAAGCCGCTGGAACTACTGGAATGCAGGATTGGGCTTTATGTGTTGTACATGGATCGTGTGATTGGACTTATAGCTAAACAAGTAAGTCAGTTTTCATTTCTCCAGAAGCTGAACCCAGAAATTCTTGCAAGTCTCTTTGGCCAATGACCACATTCTTAGTGGCATTTTTTAAACCGCATTGTAAGGTAACTAAAGTGATCTCAAAGGTTTCCGAGCAGGAAACTGCTGTTTTGCTTTTAATTAATTCTCCAATGTACTGTTCCTTACTATATGTGCATAATGTGCATTTCATTATTGATGGAGGGGAACATGCAATTTAGTGATCGGTCTAAAAGGTACCACAATTTTTTTCCTTTTTTTAGTTACAACTATCTTGAACCTGGCTTCGTGAACTGTTGCTGCGAACACTGATCATTGTGGAAATGTTTTAGTTGTGGACTTGTGGCCTCATATACTATATAGTGTTATGCCTTAGGGATTCCCCGACGATTTGGACCATATTTCAGATTTGAAATGGTTGGATGTGATAAACGTTGTAGCTACATTAGTATACTGGTTAATTAGTAGATTAAAAAGGAATTTTGGACAACCAACCTTCAATTCATTTTTATTTCAATATACAATAGAGTATGCAGGGTTTAAACATATAAAAAAACAAAAAACAAATTGGGACAAGATCAAGACCAATCCAGAACAAAAAATAGAGGTCCTTTATCCCAATTCTCATGTGCCTCCAAGGATGTTTTTACTTGGACTGTAATTTGCTGGTCTGATCTGGTCTGGTCTGGTCTGGTCTGATTTCTTTGTATTTTTATAACTATCCAAGTCTGATCTGGACTGGTCTGGTCTGGGACAAATTACAGTCCAAGTAAAAACATCCGAAGTACCCGCTGGTTCATGACCAGAACCAACCTAAAACCGGACCATGTCCACCATTAGGTCCAACCTTTACTCGGATACAAAGTTTGCATGCAATGGGTCATTTATGCCATTTAGTTATACTCCGTATAATATAGTAATGTGCCAAGTGCAAACACGACCTTTAACTTGAATTACTTTTCTATTACTTCATGTATATTATTATTTTTAAGAAAAAACGACATAAGTATCACCTCTCTGCATTTTGGAAGACAGAATACGAACAGTTTTTTTAAAGAAAACATGTGAGTCATGTGACTTACCTCTATTTGATTAATTCAAGATTCTTCTCCCTCTAATCTCAACTCAATTTATCACTTACCACAATCCTGTTAGGGTTGTAAACGAATCAAATAATTTGTGCTCGATTCGCGATTCGAATTCGTATAAGACAATTCGAATTCGGAAAAATTCAAATACAAATACGAATATGAATAATAAATTTGATTCGATTTGTTATAAAATACAAATAAGAATATCAGTGTATTCGATTCGAATATTAATCAAATATATTCGATTAATAATAGTGATAATAATAATAATAATAATAATAATAATAATAATAATAATAATAACACTATAATAACTTTTAAAAGATAGCAATACCCTAAAGTGTAGTTCATATGTACATTTATGCATACAGATTCTAAGTTCATTTGTAATAAATTAGAGTATAAATACGAATACAAATCGGATTTTTGGTTCAAATGTCTTTCAAATACAATACAAATAATTATGCATTCGATTCGCAGAATAAAATTAGAGTCGTCTGACTTTGATATATACAATTATCAACTTATTTCACATATTGTAAGTGTAATTTCTAATATGTGTGTGTTAGTGTTTTTCAAAGAGTTTGAAATAGATTTATATTTATTAATCATAAAATTGATTCACTTTAGTATATCGTGCACAATCTAAAAATGTATTGATCCATTGAATTTAAATTCTAAAAACACATATTAAATCATAGCATACTTTACAACATAAAAAATATAAGAAAATTTAATTTTAAGTGATATTTCACTAATAATTTAACCTATGCTCAAATCTATTCGATATTCGTATAAGATTCGTTAACTATTCGTATTGTTAAACAAATACAAATACAAATACAAATCGGAATTAATATTCGTTTCATATTTGAATTTGAATTCGTATTCGAAAAAATTAAACAAATACAAATACAAAATCCTACTATTCGACTCGATTCGGTTCGTATACAACCCTAAATCTTGCTGCCGATGATTGTCAGAAATGGATCCCCAAGATTTGAGCTAGGAAAGTGGAGAAGAAGAAACAATGGGCTGAGCCGTTAATATAAGGGTGGACTCGGTCGGGGCGCCTGGCCCGGTACTGTTTGGGCCCGGACCAGCCCCGGTACCCGGTCTTGGGGCCGGTTCGGGCCAACCAGAACCGCTCTAATCCCGGCGCGGGCGCGGGCCCCCTAAAATGCGAACCGGTCCGGGCCCGGTTTGGGCCTAATTTTTTTTTTCAATTGTTTTGTTTCTACCGGGTTGGGGTGGGGTTTGGGGTGGGGGGGGGGGGGGGGGGGTAAGGGGTTATTTAGAAAATCAAAAGAAAATAAAAAAAGAACATTGAACCGGAACTGCCGGCTACCCAGGCCCGAACCGGAACCGGCTCGGCCCAGGTCCATCTCTACGTTAATATGGGCCCATCCAACAACATAAAAGACTAATCTAGTACATGCAAATGATATATGAACTGTACAATAATAGAGACATAAAAATGCTAGTGACATAATAAATTGATAGTTATGCCTATAATTTAATTTATTAACTTGTAAATCACATTTTCTTCTATATGTAAAATAGTCATTTTTTCGAACCGAATTTGAAAATAGTACGTAGTTATATTTAAGGAAAAATCTTACTTCCTCCGTCCTTTTTTTTTTTATCGTCTCTTCCTCCGTCCCTTTTTATTTAGCCAAAAACTATTTTTCAAGTCAATGACTTGAAACTTTGACCTATTATATAGTTATACACGTCATATTGATAATATGAACATGATATCAAAATGTTATTTGTTAAAAATATTATCATAAAAGTACAAATTTACTAAGTTTCATACATTAAAATAATGGATCAAAGTTTATCACCTTTGATTGAAAATGTCAAAGATGGCTAAATAAAAAGGGACGCGGTAGTATTATTTTTAAATTTTTAATATATTTTTAATCTCTTATAATATATGGAGTATTTAAGTAAACCCTTTTAATAGTATATTTTTTTTGTTTGAGATCCACACCAAACTACTTTTCATATTTCATCAATTTAATTTACATTTTTTGGTTTAGTACCTCATTCATCTCTTAAGCAACCATCGTTGACTATGAAACATACATAACTACTAAGATAGTATTATTTTTCTTTTTTTTTTTTTTTTTTTTTTTTGCATCATCTCATTTAGGCAAATTATATGACATCTTATCCCAACAATCTAATTAGATTATTACAATTGAATAATTCAAATTCAAACAAATAATGACATAGATCAATTACCAATTGTCCAAAAGGTATGGTAGCTGCATAGGTCAGCAGATGCGGTCGTCTCCCTAGCAATTAGAGTTGGAATGCACAACTTTTGAGTTTTTTCGTCGGGTTCTTTGGCTAATCGGATCCTGCCTCGGCGGATTCCTTTGTTCCAGTCATTGGCATCCCTTGTTCTTTTATTATTGTGCAGGTTTTTCGGCTTCGCACTTGCGGGCTTTGAGAAGGAATCATGGGCTTTGGTGGACTGTTGCGCCGCAGGTTGTTGATCGACAAGTATGGAAGGTTTCGAACGCAACAGGGCATCGGCTCAAGCGTTTTGGAGGTAAGCAGACAGAAGCAGATTTGGATCGCGCTGTTTTGCTCGGGTTATGGTCTCCTCGCTTGTGCTACTAGTTTCGATTGGGGAGACTTCATTAAGCGTGGATTCCGGGTTCACTCGTGCTATAATCGGGATGTCATTGGAAGCTGTGGTGGTGGGTTTGCAGGGAATATTTCAAGATGAATGGTTGATGATCCATTTCCCTCCTGAACCACCGCCGAGGATGATGTTCGAAGCATGAATTCAATTGCTCTATCAGTTTATTTTAATAAATTTCGTTTTACTCTTTTTGAGTTTCTTAGGCATGAACAATGTCATTGTTGTCTTCTGCTATTTCTATTTCAGTCAGACTCTTACATTAGATGGGGTGATGAGGGTTTTGCTTTGGCCACGTTAGGCTCATTTAGACCCACTACAGGATCACCGAATCATATTTCTTTTTAAAGGGTAATTGGTTCTCAGGCTGATTCGAGGATCGATGGTTGGAAGCGGTTCCTCTATCTCTTTTGTCCCTTGCTGAATGTTTTATTATCAATTTAAACCATCCTGTTCCAAAAAAAATGTCCAAAAGGTATAAAATGTGCGGTGGAAGTTTAGCCTGAGTTGGGAATTTGGGATAGTGCCATTAATTAATCTATTTTCAAAATGGAGACATAAGTTCTCATAGTCACAAAAGTATAAAAAGTTACATTTTTATCCATTGTCTTTATTTTAGTCATATACTCCGTATTTGTCATTCTTTTCTTATATATTACAGAGTTTTTAAGTTTTGCTTAATTGGGACAGAGGAAATCCTTCAATTAGAATGAAATATAATTTTGAAACGTATTAGAAATTCAGAAGATTTCAGCTTATGGTTAACAGAAAACTTAAAGGGAACCGAGTAACTTGAGAATATACCTTTTTTTACAGCATACTAAAAGAAAACTAAGTTCCAGACTCATCAAAAGGCAACCCAAATAAAAGATAGGAAGAAGAAAAAAGAACATCGTGAGCCAGAAAACATCAAAGATTAAACTGACACCTTATTCACTCTGAAGGAGTTCATGACTTCGCGAATGTCCTTCTCCGCTACAGAGAACTCCTTTTCAGGAGTCTGTATTCTCAATTCATATAACCTGTTGTTTTCCACTCCAAGTACGGAGAGGTATCGCCGATCCCATTCCAGGCGAGCCACTCGATCTTGTGGCATCACAGCCAACTCATTGTTGTTGGCATATGACTTTATATTCACCTATTTGGGACATTGTGAAAAAATGCATTACATAATTTCATGCAGTGATTCATTTCTTGACAGTTGACACTAACAGAAATACAATGCTACTTGATTGGGGCATTTTTTTTAATTGTATATAACTGTATTGCTTAGACTGTTTACAATGGACACATGTATATCAATCTCCAATCTCAAAGTAATAAACTTTTTACTACGCTGGTAAGATTGTAATTGAGTGAGGTCAAGCTGGTAAGATTGTAATTGGGTGAGGTCTCAGCCGATTCAGACACAGAGTCGTCATATGTATTGGACTATGTGCATAAAATTAATTCCCACCTGGATCCAGACAATATTTGAATATTTTAAAACGATCAAGGCTATTGAATATTCAATTTTGGACGGGACAAGATCTGGATCTGATTTATATAAATGATAAGTATACAAGCTAAATTTCATTTTCATTTTCATTTTCATTTACCCCGGTGCCGCAAAGGCTCCCAAAGTGAAAATCGCTAAAGCACAGAGAAACTGTTTCCGGATGACCCATAGTGAAAATCGCGTCCAAAATTACATGGACTGACTGTTGCTTCATAACAAAGAAACGCAGACAGTTTGGTGAGCCATTTTGCTTTATTTCATCATATTCTCAAGCCAAAAAATAATGAATCTTTGGCACCGTTGCAAATGATGGAATCATGGAAATAAGTATACAAGCTAAATATGTAACATAAAAAATGGAAAATGCTAATGATTACTCTAAGGACATTTTTACTTCACGGGGTATTAAATGACGCTTATTAAGACATGTGTTAGTAAGCGATGCATAAAATAAGCAGTGCTATAAGCACACGTTTACTTCACATGAAAAAAATACCATTTAACATTAAAATGATCCAAAATAACTCTATACATGTATATGCACACACATTCATATATGCACATGTATATATAATATACACACATAACATAATATAGCATAATATAATATATACATATATACATAATATTCTATATATAATATTATATGTATGTGTGCACATGTATGTATGCGTATTTTATAGAATATATTTATAAGGTGTAAGGGTAAATGCGGAAACCGAAAAAGCTTAAATTGTTGCTTAATTAATACATAAGGGGTGATATGCTTAGTAAGCGACACTTTAAGCATGTGTTTGGGCTATTAAACAGCTTTTAAGCAGTATGTGTGTTTACTTCACGTGTCTTAGCAACCTAACCGTGTTTTTAACACTGAAGTAAACATCTCCTAAGGGTGTTAAATAGATGCATTGGGATACGGGTTTCAAATGTTTAATAGCCGGGTACTTTGGAATAACTATGTAAATTTATATTAGCATAAGTTATGGATAAGTTTGTTTGCAGATGATTGCGTTAGAAATATTATACGCAGTAAATGATCTAGAAACTTTAATTGGAATGGTGATTAGGTAAAAATTTTGACGCCTTACAGTTTTTATAATGCATCTCAATCCAAACTGAATATTAGTTTAGATCTAAATATGAAAAATCTTTATATCATTTGGAACTGGATTTGAACCGGATCAAATCTGTGACCGAACTGGCCCGGGTCTGGGATATAGAGGGTAGTTCCAACGGTCTAGGTATGGATGTGGGTCTACTTTTTCGGGATAGGTATGGGTATGTGTATGGGTATGGAATTGTATGTACTATGTATGTCCACATTTAAAGTTCATGTTCACTGTTTATGCTATCAACTCAAGTTTCTCATAATCTCAAATTTGATAGATCAAATTGATATCATTTTTGAATAGTGATTTTGCGGTCCAATAAAACTTTTAGTGTAGTTTCAAAATATAGAAATTTAAATATTGACAAGGAAGAGCTAATCTTATCATCATCGTAAACCACAACATGAACTTCTGCGAGAGACAGAGAAGTAACTTGTGACTACAGCAAGGACAGAGATATTACCTCAACTTGATAGTACAACCTCCCATCATCTGCCACTCTTGAAGAAGAGGAGAGAATGCTTGATTCACGCCTGACGCCAAGCCTAGTGGACATGAACTCCGTCAAATACTGGCGAAGTGCTTTCTTTGCAGCTTCTTGGGGCGGGCCCAAATCTTCTACACTTTGGTACTTGGAGGAGGAAGGAGAGGATATCTCCAAGGAGAGATTCACATCAAGAACATAAGGATCCCTGAAGAATATGTCAGCACCAGCACCTCTTACTTGAATCCAGTTGTGAGGATACATGAATGAATAGCCATTAAAATTATCAATGTAATCCCTAAACCCAATGGATTGAGCAAGTGCGGTGTCTAGTGAATTTGTTAGCACGAAACTCGAGAAAATCAAGGCGATTGCCCCTCTCCTGGGAAATGCAAAATCTTTACTCTGGTTATGTATAAGAAAACTTCTAGTGAGAATACAAGTATACACATACAGGGGTACATGATTCTTCTTATATGATTTTTTTTCATTTAAAAGTGGCAGGTTATGTTCACAAGAAAATAAAAAGTGGCTGTTTGGTCTATAGGATGAAGACACCAAAACTTGCTGATTAATTGTGCAGAGAGTCCTACTAGCAGAAAAGTTTATAACAGTGGTAAAAGCAGTAAACACTATGAAATTCTACAATACTTCAAATGAAAGAAAAGTAAATCATTTGAAGCACACGAGAAAGAAAGATTAACCAAATTAATGATTTAATTTAACTAATTTGAAGTAGCGTGAAGCATACACAATGGAGGATTGATTTTATATTGTTTCTCTCCCTCTTTCTCTATTTATTGTTTTTATCTCTGGTATCATGTGTCTAACCTCTTTTAGAAATAAGGCTTGGATGTTGTTGAAGTAGCACTACTCCTATTGTACCCACCGACAAATATAGTTAAGGGCGTGATTCAAAAAACAGAAAAACTTCTAGAATTACTTTTTAATGTTACTATAACCCGCCACAAGCTTGATAAAAGCATGCCATGTGCAAGAAAGTGTTGAAATTGTTAGGCTGTACCCAAATAAGTAAAACTGATGAAACAGTACCTTCAGAACAGAAGTTTCTCCATTATCACAACAAAGATTTTTCCAGGAACTGTGAGCATAACTCTTTGATTTTTTACTCCGATTTGGCACATTTCTATCTAATGAGTCCACTGCAATAGAAAACAACAAATACATTTTAAGAACAAGAAACAGATTAAGAAACAACAAAATTGTTGCATGCAATCTTCTCCCTCCCTTCCAAATCAGCGGTATTAAAATTAGTAATGTAATTGAAATTTACAAATAGTAAAACTACTCAGTGTTATTTAAATTTTACTGAACTGCTAAGACATAGTTTGAATATACGGAGTAGTAAAAATTCGTTGACATAAAATTTGAAAGTAAAAAAGCTTAGAGTTGACAGAAGAATAGTGAGCGGAAACGCTAGTTTAGAATAGAGTACAGTGAAATTGGTTATTTCATTCTTCAGCTCCGAGAACCGGGAATATGTGACGATTATAAACATCTTTTCAACATTTTGCGATTCAATGGTTATTATATTATCTTTATTTCCTCCATTAACAAGTGTTTTTTTTTTATCTAATTTCCCCACATAGATATGAATTTGAAATGAAATAGAAATCAAATGGCATAGCAAATTATTCCGGAGTACCTTCCGGAAAAACACCGAGGTGAGGGCGTATGCAAGGGACGGTAGAAGACAGCGTTACAAGAGTCGGAGTGGAGAGATACGAAACGCGAGAAGCGATGATGGCGTTTGATGATGAAGGGAGAGCTGCCATGGCGAATTGAAAATCGGAGAGCCACCCGCTCGCTTCGTAATCGGATTTGGTCCCCCGGGCAGGGTGTTTGTCCGGAAAATGAGGATGGTAAGGTTGGAGGTAGGATGAGGAACATTTTCTTTCTTACCCTTCAAATTTAATTATCTTGTATTTATAAATGTTTTTAGAAATAAGGGAAATTATCATTTACGGTTTCACGTATTATCACCTAGACCCCTTCACTATTAAAAATATACACATACCCTCCTCCCTATCTTTTAATGAAAG